GACCGACCGTGACACACAGGAGGGCATCTCCAACTGGTCCGGATATTGTAAATATTTACACACATATACACACACTATTTCTCCAGTTCCATCTTTACATGTACTCTCTCTATTGGTCTGTTTCTCGGTTGTCAGTCTACATATATATATATGTGAATATGCATAATACTACATATACATGTATATTTATATATATTTTAAAAGTCTGGGGATTTTATCAGGGTAATGAGAATACGAATGCCTTTTTAAAATGTCTTATGCTGTTCTGTTTACTCTCATAAACAATCGACATCCATTTATGAACAGAAAAAGTTATACAGCCATTCACATTTTCAAAAAATGTATCCAAAAGTCCTGCCAATAAAAATGACTTCTAATTGTTCTATTTAATTTCCAGAGTCCTTTGCTCCCCCAAAGTTTCTGCCATTACTTGTGGGAGCACAAACTTGGGTTAACAAACTTTGATATTGTAATAATTGCTTTACCAAATCATATTCTCACCTTTATCTAAACACATAAGAAATGTATAATCAAAACCAATGCTTTCTATATTTGTCATTATACTGCTATTTCAAAGCAAAATGTCTAAGAGCATAAAAAACTAAACTCTCAATACCAGTCACCACCTTATCTATGGAATTTACCCCAGTTGCCTTGAAGCTGCTTTGCTAGCAGAAAACTGCTACAAACTGTCTCCTTGCCGTAAAAAGCAGAGACATGGTTTGGTCGCTTTGCTTAGTTCGAGGTCATAGATTCAGGGCTGCTTATGCTTATGGAAAACCATAACTCGTCCCCTGCCCTAACTGGCAGGACGTGCTTCGCTCATCAGGCGTAGGTGGATGGTGTAAGCTGCTCTTGCTCACAGAAAACTGTGGCTTAGCCCTTAGCTGGGAACAGCTGGGCTGCTTCGCGTGCTTAGACGATTTCTGATCATAGTATGGAGCCTGTGTGGTGGCCTGGGTTGGTTTTCATTGTCAATTATTCGGAACACTGTAACCTTGCTCAGGATTGTTTGAGGCTTAAAATAACCATTCGTACTATCAATATTGTAACCTTCTCGCTAAGTATAAATTAAGATTATAATGTTTCTGTTTTTCACGAACTGAAACTGCTGATCTGCATCCCTGCACGTATACCATGCCCCTTACTCATTCCTATGACGTATTTCACTTTGATTCTTTGTTTGACTATTCTCAATAAGTACAAGAGCTTTGGAGGAGCTCGGGGAGTCAGTCGCTGGCTCCCTCCCACTCTCTTGACCTGATAAAGTCTTGAGTAATTTCGTTCTTCTGCGGTGGAACTTTTGCTGGACAAAACCCACGACGAACAGAACCCACAATTACTTACTTATCCTGAGCTTTTTAATTAAAACCTAGTAAGAAGCCTTGTAGTAAATGGATCTCAAATCATATGTAACCAATTCCTCAGCGTATGTAGCTCACGATGAGAATGGAGATGGGGGCGTATCATGGGAGTTATAATCCTGGATTCTGGGTGAGAGTAATAGAGGTTTAAAAACCAACGTCATTGTCTTACAGCCCCTATAACCTCAGAAAAGCTACCTAATCCTAGTTTCCTCACCTCTCAAATAGAAGTATTGACACCTAGCTGACAGGATTGTCATGAGGACTGAGTAGGGTACTGTAGCAGCAGGTGACCATGCACTGAGGGGCTGCCTGAGCCCGGCAATGGGGTGAGGGCTTGATAAGAATTACCTCATTCAATCCTTTCAATGACCACGCAGTGGGCATTATTATTGTCTCCATATTACAGGTGACAAGACAGGTTTAGAGTGGTCCATGCCTTTACTTAAAGTTACATCATCAGTAAATGATCGAATCAAAATTAATCCATGGGTATTTTGCCTCAAGAGCCCCAAGTTCTTTTTTTAAATCATTAAAAAAAATTTGAAGTATTTATTGATTTACAAGGTTGTGTTCGTTTCAGGTGTACAGCAAAATGGTTCAGGTATATATCTATATCTACTATTTTCCTTTCTTTTATAGATTCTTTTCCTTTATAGGTTATTAAAAGATGTTGAATATAGTTCCCTATGCTATACAGTAGCAGAAGGACACTGATTCTTAATGAAAAAGAATTTAATCTTAAATCAGGATATTTACCAGTATCCAGCTGTGTCGCAACAAATATCAACCACACATGCTGTTTCCTTCCCTATATTTGACATCTTGTAGTTGGCTAGAGCAGTGTAAGAAGCCCTGGTGGACACTAAGAAGATGGTTTCTTCATGTCTGTCCCTCTCCTGTGTGCCTTGGACCGGTCATTTGTGACTTCTCTTTTCTCAGCCTGTAAAATGAAGGACTTGGCACTGAATGATCTCGGAGAGCCTTTCAGCTCTGAAAACATTCTGTGATATTGAAAGCTTCAGAGCCCCATGTTCTCAACAATGTGCTTCCAGAAGGCTCATAAAACACACATGAGCTGGCATGAGGTGAATGCTTAACAAATGGTCACTGTTGTTAAAGATGAGTGATGAAACAATTGGATACAGTTGACATAGTTCATAAACACCTGCTATGCTCTCTCTTTCAACACACTGTATGAAAGAAAAACTGTGATGATTTTGGCTCTATGACTAGACACACTTATTCTCTAAGATGACATCGTTGAAAATGATATGCCGGTGTTTCATCTTTAAATTAAGTTAATGCAAGATTCCTCATCCTGCCTGTAAAAGAATGGAGAATTCCTAGACTTTCTCTGTCCCATACTGTAGCCACTAGCCACAGGGATTGAGACGTGTAAAATACAGGTGGGACTTCAATGATTTTGTATGAAAAAGGAATGTACAATATCTCATTAATAATTTCATATTGTTTCCATGCTGAAACAATGTAACTTAGGATATACTGGGCTAAGTGAAACGTATTCTTAAAATTAATTTCACTTGTTTCCTTTTACTTTTTATGAAATGGCTACAGGAAAATTTATTTATGTGGCTTGCAAAATATTTCTACTGAACAGCGCAAGTCCTGGCAGGGCCTGGCAGTGAGGCCTGAAGCAGATTAGACATAATCATGGTTTATAAAATTCTAAATCCTGTTATAAAACCAAATGTCAAAATATGATCAAAAGAACTATTATATTATAAAATAAACAACAAGGTCCTACTGTTTAGCATAGGGAACTATATTCAATAATTTTTAATAACCTATAATGATAAAGACTATGAAAAAGAATATATATGTATAACTGAATCATGATGCTGTACACCAGAAACTAACACAACACTGTAAAGCAACTATACTTCAATTAAAAATAAAAATATAATAAAAAAGATTATTATGTAAAATTATTATAGAGTATATTGATAATTGTATGAACCATAAACCCTAGTTTATATTAAAAATGATAAGAAATGGGGATGGAAAGGGACATGACAATGATCAGATCAATGTTAGTTTCCTTCTTTTAAACAGATGAGCCTCAAAAAAGCCATTTCAATCTTAACTTTGACTATCAGAGAAACACTGTGGTTTTTTTTTTTAAATCAGCTTTTCATTTATTTTTTTCTGGTGTCTACATACACACACTTTAAAAAATGTTACAGAAGAGTGTATTATAAAAGGCAAGTTAGTAATTTATTTCTAAACGAAATGAATACTTCTCTTAGGGTTTTTTTTTCACTCCTTTATGCACTCAACCAAATATTGTGGCTTTACACCATGTGTTCTTGATGTTGAGATACATATATTTCACATCCTAATAATATTCTGGATCAGAATTTGACATGTAGAGGAGAGGGTGGGGACGGAGGTTCTGGTGGAGGCTGTGACAGTGGGGCTGAGTGTCAGGTCAGCCTGGGACACTGGACAGAAATATCAGCCAAAGAAAGTTGAGGGGAAGAGAAAAAAATTACCAGTGTTGATTCTTGGCCACTTGGTCACCTCCTCCCAGCCACTTGTCTAGCAGCTGAAGGCAGGGGTCGAATTTGTAACAGGAAGTGTTGGAGCCAGAGACCCGGCCCCACCCTTCCGGCTCCTCGGGCACAGCCAGGTCCTGACTCATCCTTCCATTTATTCCAGTCACAGTGACAAACTGGAAGAGAAGGGACATGTCAGGTGCAGAGAATGTAGGAGGAGAGGAGAAGGGGAGTGAGGGGAATCAAATAGGAGTGGCTTCTATTTCTCACTGTCACTTCTCCTGTTTAGTTTGTGGCCACTTGGCCCCATCCCCCAGGGAGCGCAGACCCAAGAGGCCAGTGTGCTTCGGGCAAAAAGGCAGCTCTTCCAGCAGCTCAGCCCCACTGTAGCCAGAGCTGTAAATCAGGTCCTGTGCACAGCATGAGACCACTCTTTGCTGCCCCAGTGGGTTAGAAGGGCGAAGACAGAGCACCCCTTCATATTTGGACAGAAGATGCTAAGTTTGTCCTTTTGCACCTGTGTGGGTCAGGACTGAATTCGAATTCTTCACCTGCCATCCTAGGCCTGATATACTCAAATGGAATTTACTTTTAGTGGCTATATATAGCCTGGGCAGTGTCTGAAAGTGACCATAAGATGGATTATACAGTTTGAAATTAAACGTGTATTTTAAAACCTTGCTCATCGGTTTGCTGATATTTTGAAATACTGGTGGCCATTTAATGAATATTGTCTTCCGTGCCTGTGGGTTCCAACGAAGATGGAAAATATTAGGCAAGAAAGTTCCAGAAAGTTCCAAAAAGCGAAACTTGATTTTGCCGCTCTAGCAACTATTTACATAGTTTTTACATTGTGTTCGGTAATGTAAGTAATAACCTAGACTTGATGTAAAGTATGCGGGAGAATGTGCATAGGTTATATGCAAATACTACACAATTTTGTATAAAGGAATTGAGCACCTGAGGATTTTAGTCTCCATGGGGTTCCTGGAACCAGTGCCCCGCTGTTATCAAAGGACAAATGTATTAAGCACCTGATATGTACCTGGCGTTGTTACTGTTCCAAACTCAGGTTCGGTTGCTCACCACTCAAAAGCCAATAATTGGGAGGCAGACGTCAATAGAAAGAAAAGGTGCTTTAACCAGAAAAGCCAGCAATCTGGGGAGAAAGTGGACTCGTGTCCAGAGACCAACTCTGAAGATTCTGCTCGGCCATGACAGTTTTTAAAGGGAAAAATGGGGGGAAGAATCTCAGTGACTTGTCGAGGCAGGAGGTTGGGTTCTGCATCCTTCTCCATTGCGTGCAGATAGCTGACTCTCTCTTCAGATGTTATCTTGCCCTCGTGATCTGCCTGCAGGATGGCCAAGGGGGCTGTTGGGGGTAGAGACCTAGTCATCCTTTAACTGCTTCATTCTTCATTCTTACTTATTTTAATCTAGGAAAAGAATCAACAGGTTAGGCAAGGCATGGTGTGCATTCAGGACAGCATAAGTCAGGAGTTAGTTTCAATTGTTTAGTCATCTCATTCCTATAATTAGGTTTTTTAAGGTTACAGAGGGACAGGAATGGGTAAACAGGAAAGGGGCAGGAGAGCTGCTTTCATCACCTGTGTGTCTTTTTACTTCAATCGCACCCATTACACCAAAGGCGTCTGTTAACACATCCAGGTGCTCTGTATTGCCCATCAGGGCTCAGGACCCAGGACCCAGGGGCATGGGTTGCTGAGTACCATCAGCGGGCGAGGAGGATTGGGGAATGGAACGCTGCCCCCCAGGAAGCACTTACCGAGAACCCCTAAACCCCGGCCGAAATGTGAGTGCTTCCAATGCCAGGCGTGGAGATTTCTTCAATTCACCAGATCAGTTGAGAGATTCTTAAATATTTTGAGCAGAGAAATATTAACAGGAGATTATTTCAAGAAGACTATGGAGTAAGATTTTTGGGTTTGGGGGATGTGGTTGGGGGTGGGGATCATAAGGCAGGGATACCTGGGCAGGCACAGGGGAAGGGGAGCAGAGAATGGCAGGTTGCAGAGATGGGTAAGGGTAGATCCAAGGGCCTGAGGGTGGGGGACAGCTGACGTGGCATCAATGAGAAAGCCCTCTTGTCCAACTCCAGCCCTGCCCAGGCTCCCCCTCCTGCCCAGCCACAGCGCCGGATGCAGCTTGCTTCCTTTATTTGTAGAAAGGGAAGGCTTCATGTTCTTTCTGTATGCATTTCTATATAATCTATCAATATGTAAGATCTGGAAAAGCATTATCACACATGTACCAAATCATTATTCATATTTAGGGGGAGTTTGGGTTGTCATACCTTTTCTGTGTATAGTTAACATTTTTACACGTGTCTCTTGCATTGTTCATTTTACTATTACATGAAAATCATTTTCCCATGATGTTACCTGGACTTGCTAAACGATATTTGTAAAGGTTTCCGAATATTTTTAGAAAGACTGTCTACCCTTGGATTCCTTAATTTATTCTTCTCCAACGGTGATTTCAAGTTTCCTATTTTACAAATAATGCTTGGATAAATAACTTCACACACACACACACGCACCTCTATTTATCTTCGCATCATCTAGACATCAAAGGAAGATGAATATAGAGGAGAAGATGGAGGAGGCGGGGGAGGAGAGGAAGAGGAGGGGAGGAGGGCTACTCCCTCACGTTAAGAACCCTGGTTCCGCGGAGTGGAGCCCGCAGTGCGCACGACTGTCACCAGGGCAGTGGCTGCGGATCGGGGCGGAGCGGCCCGGAGCCTGCAGGCGGAGGCCAGCCCCCCATACTGCGGAGAAAGGGGCGGGCGCCTTGCCGCAGTGGCACTTGGCCTTGGCCTTTGGCGGTCTCTGGCTCCCCCTGCCGTTCACACCGCGCACCTGCAATGGGCAGCTGCTCTCAGTCCTTTCCCGTTGCCGCCTTCGCCTCCTCCATTTTGCTTCTGCATGGCTTTTTCTTCACCCCTTGGTCCCCTGTTCCTCTCCAGTCGTCCGCTTATTAATTTAGGGCTCCCAACTCGAGGAACCCCTTGCGGAACTAGCTGCTGTCGTCAGACTGAGGGAAAGAGCAGGCCTAGATGGAGCCCAGGCGGGCAGGGACCGCTGGCGACAGGGTCCGGGCCCCTCCCAGCGCGGTGGCAGCGGTGGCGGGAGAGAGGCTGATCTTGAGCAGTGGCCGCTGGCCGCCAGGGCCCGGGACCCCTCTTTGCGGTTCCTGGTCTCTGGCTTTCTGGGCCCCCTGTATGGGGTGCTGTAAAGGACCGAGCCTGGTGGGGGAGGGTCCATGGGGAAGGCACAGCCCTGGGCCCCAAAGCCTCCTCCTGCGGGCAGAGGAAGTGGGACACAAGAGTCAGGGGCCTGGGGTCTCTGTGGTGGGGACCTGCCGTTGTCCAAGAAAAACCAGAGCTGGACAGTAGTTAAAATGGTGAAAACGGATTTTATTCAGGACTATTGCATCAGGACTGTTGCAATAGGGTAAAAGAGACCTCAATATAGTACCAGGTTTAATTCTGAATACCGAATGGGCAAGTGAGAATTTATCACCAAGGAGCAGTGGGGGCGAGGAGCGTATCAGTGGGTGGAAAATTACTAAGAGGAAATGTCAGGGGTAAGGTGGGATTCTGGCTCAACCCATCTAACAGGAGTCTTGCTGAGGGCAGCGATGGTGATCAGACATCACCTGGGGAAAGGTGGAGGGTGAGGAACCCAGCTATCCAGGGTGATCAGCTATGGAGAATGAGGTGTTCTGGCTATACTGACTTAAAAGGATTCTTACTAAAATTGGACAGTGCAGAGATGAACACAAAAGACGAGTCCTAGTTGAAAAGTTCAGGGGAGCGTGAGCAGAGTTTGGTCAAGAAGAGAATCTTTGTCATAACTCCATGGTCCAGGACCCTGGAAATGCCCAATGGTGGCACTTCAAGATGGCAGGACAACTGTTCAGGAGCGGGTGGAGGGGCTTGTGGAGGATAGGAGGCAGCCCCCTCCCCACACCCTTTGCTGGTCTCTCCAGCCTAAGCTGCCAGGGACCAAAATTCCCCCTTTCCCGATTCAGAATAACCTCAAGTCCAAACCAGTCTCCTGGCCCAAGGGCTTTCTCCTGGTCCAGCCCCTAAGCTGAGTCAATCCACGTGGGGCCAGGAGGAACCTCAGTGACTCTCCACAAACCCAGTGTCAAGTCACCCCAGGTGGGGTTCAGTTAACATCCCATCTCGTCCAGAATCCCCACCTACATGCCTCTGGGTGCCTCTTGTGCTTGGACCAAGCTATTGCTCCTGCGGTTCCAAACCAGAGACCAGATGGGCCTGACCCAAGACACCTAGGAAGGGTTTCCAGGAGGGGGATGACTCCCAGCAGCCAGACATGAAGGTGGATTCCAGAACCCACCCGGCTGCCGCCCCAGGGACCCCACAGACCTCCCAAGCAGAGGCAGTTCAACAGGAGGGCTGCCTGGAGGAGGCGGGGGTGGAGAGCCACAAACACTAGAGCCCAGTGATTCCATCCTGGACACCGATTCATTCACACAGCTTAGATCTCAGAGCTTAGACATGGGCTCACAAAGCCACACTTCACAAAGCACACAGTTTCCCCGTCTAGCCTTCTATCCACTCATTCACCAAGTATGTAGAGAGCTCCTGGGCTGTGGGGATGCAATGGGAAATCAGAACGAGGTCAGAGGAGGAACGAGGAAGATGACATTACAGCCCAGTGCAGTCAGGGCACATGTCCAGGGGAAGCTGGGAAGAATTGGTCAGGAGGGGAACAGAAAAGGTTACTCCCCAGGAAGTCACGTGAGAACAAAGCTGCGAGCGGTGAGCAGGGATTTGCCAAGTTAGACAAAGAGGGGTTGGGTTCTCTTGGCAGAGGAAGCAGGTATGTAATGGCCCCAGGTCCATTTCACACGGCCCAAAGCCGCCCCAGAGCAGGGGCAGGAAGGGGGGGTGTGGACTGGGCGAGGTGGGCGGTCGCCAGAGTATAAAGGACAAAGCGAGGGGTAAAGGAGATATTTGTTAGGATTTCCGCAGAAATATTTGACCCAAGCCAAGTGTGAAGCAAATTGCTATTCTTTCTGGAATGATTTCTTCCCCTGGAAGAGTCTAGTGACCACCCAAAGTTCTGCCTCTTGGTTTGGGAGTCTCAGCTGATCAGTGACCCGCAGTCTCTCCAGCTTCTCAGTACCGCTGAGTGGGGAGTGTCTTCCTGGCTTCTCCTCTGCCCCACGTCCCAGCCAGGACCTGGGTGACTGTGGGGCTGTGGATGGAGCAGGCCAAGTGCAGGGAGCAGGTTGGCCTCTCCCATTTCCCTTTTTCCCTCAGAACCTGAGGGACATCTTGGTAATGAGGTGGAGCTCAGCCTTCTTGAAAGTGACTTTGTTTCCTGCCTGTGTTTAACTGATGTCAAAAGTGACAGCAAGGAGTTGGGGGGTGTGGGCAGACAGGGCCTGACTGGCTCTCAAGAGCTCCCTCTTGGCCTTTGACCCAGACACTGGGTACCGTGACTGTCACTTATTGGCGTTCTTTGTTGCCATTGGTGTGTTTGAGTAAAGTTTGAAATCTTCTAACTTTCTCAAGGCAAATAACACAAAAGTCTGGAAGCAAAGAACAGTTGAGGAAATGGAAGTCAGAATCCAGGCAAGAGAGGATGAAGACTTGAATTAAGGCAAGAGGCGTGGGGAAGCAGGTAGACACATTCCCCTTGTAAGCTTCTTGTAAACTTGAAATTAGGATGGAGGAAAGTAGTCAGCATGGTGCCCGGCATACAGTAGGTGTCAAATAAGTGCTAGGTTGCCTCCTCCATGGCAAGGTTCCAGAAGGATGCCATTCTCTTTTCAGCTCTGAAATAGCTTCTGGAAGCAAGGGAGCAGAGGTGGTGACCAAGTTAGCCAAGTGGACACACCCTTCTGTCACTCAAGGGCTCCCTCCGAGGGTGAAGGTTGCCATGGGGGCCTCCGATGGTTCTCTGAGTGGTTCTCAGATCCTCACCCTCCCACCCCAGTGGCCCCTCACCCAAACTTGGCAGCATCCCAACCCCCTGTCTAGTTCGAATTCAGCCAAGCTCTGGCATGAGGTTGTCTAATGCAGGGAGAGGCAGGTCTTGTTTGGAGGAGCTGGGGGATTAGGGCCCCCAAGTCAGCACTTGCCCACTCCGACATCCCGCCTGTGGAAGCCAGGTGCCTCTGCCAGGAGGAGGAAAGTGCCTATAAGTTGGTTGCTTCCTTCTCCCACAGTCCAGCAGATTGTCCCAGGCCGGAAGGGGAAGAGATCCTGCCTACCTGGAAGCTGCTGGCATTGCTATGCCCAGAGTTCAGAGCCCAGCATGGCTTGGAGGAGACCCGAATGTGATCCCATATCCCTGCCAGGAGCGCCTCCATCCCAACCAGCTCTGGGCCTTCCTGACCCTCTTGTGACCTCAGCCTCCGCAGCCTGGGGCCAGGCTGGTACTTGGGGCCCCTCCCCAGCTCTCACCAGGGAAGTTGGTTCAAGGGTGGCAACATGAATTGCAGATAGTTAGAGATGAACAGAGGCGACAAGTGTCCTGGAGGCAGACAAAGAAAGGTGGGAAAAGGCAAGAATCTCTAGCATTCAAGTGTAACATTTTGCTCATTATGCCCTCATTACAATCAAATTAGCCTTGCAGATTAGAAGCACCCATCATGCACTGATGCCATAACACTTCCGACCCAGACTAAATAAGGACAAAAATCCCTCCTCCCCTCAGGAAGGTGGAGCTGGGATGGAAATGACCCCAAACTCCTTCCTCCCCAATGAATATTCCACCCATTCATTTTTATGTATGTGACCAGCTTGCCAAAGAAGCTCCGTGCAACTGCTCACCTGAGTCTGCCCGCTCACCCCTTGAGAGCATCCTACCACTTAAGAAATCCTCACGTTATTTTCTTGACCTCCATGTCTCGTCTCTGAATTCTTTCTGCGACGAGACAAGAACCTACTCTCCCATAATAACTCCACATGTCTTTCCTGACCCACTTGCCAACAGAGAATGCTGAGGTAACATTTGATGTGACTTCCATTCTAGATGATCTTTCCACAGCCTGCAGACAAGATAGTCTGTCTCCAAGCCACCAGCTATGAGGGGTGACCCAGAGCTCCACTCCCTGGCCCCCCCCCACCCCACGTCAAGCTCACCCTGGTCCAGGGCTCAGTCCCCTGCCTGCTTTGGGGCTCTGCCCCTCCAGCTCTCAGAATCACAGAGAATGAACAGTTCAGTTTGTCTGTGTCAGGGTAGCCCAGGGCCAGGCTGCGACATGAACAACTGATGATGCAGGAAAGAAGAAGAGCTAATCAT